GGAAGGGAGAAGGAGGGAGGGAGGGGCGGGGGAGGGAGGGGAGGAGAAGGAGGAGGGAAGGGAAGAGAGGAGAAGGAGGGAAAGGAAGGGAGGAGTGGGAGAAGAGAAGGGAAGGGAGGAGGAGAAAGGAAGGGATATTAGGATGAGGAAAATGCGGAGGAGGGAAGGTAAGGAAAGGAAAGGGAAGGGAAGGGAAGGGAAGGGAGGAGAAGAAGGAGAAGGAGGGGGTAGAGGGCGAGAAAGAGAAGGAGGAGGAGGAGGAGGAGGAGGAGGGAGGAGAGGGCGAGACTCCATATCTTATACAGGACTGAGAATTCCAGGCGAGAGGGAATGCCAGGCACGCATCGCAGCCTCTCATTGTCGGCGGCGGCCACACGCCAGAATGTGACGCCGGGTTCGCCTCCCACTTGCCGCCCCGTCTCCTCCTCCTCTCTCCTCGCCCGTCTCTTCTCCCCTCTCCCTTTTCATTCGCCTCTCCCCTCGCCCGTCTCTTCTCCCCTCTCCCTTTTCATTCGCCTCTCTCCTCGCCCGTCTCTTCTCCCCTCTCCCTTTTCATTTGCCTCTCCCCTCTCCCTTTTCATTCGCCTCTCCCGTCTAACGTCTCTTCTTCTTCTCCTCTCTCCCTTCTCCCGTCTCTTCTTTTCCTCTCTCCCCTCTTCCGTCCCTTTCATTCACTTCTCCCCTCTAACACCTCTTCTTCTCCGCTCTCTCTTTTCCCGTCTCTTCTTCTCCCCTCTCCCTTTTCATTCCCCTCTTTCTTCCCCTTCGTCTCTCCTCTTTTCTTCTTTCTCTTTCCCCTCCTCCTCGTATTTCGTTCCCTTTCTCCGATTCATCTTTCTTCTCCTACTTTCCCTATCTCTCCTCTCTCCTCCCTTCAGCCTTCTTCTTTTCCTCCTCTTCCCCTCTCTTTTCTCCCTTTTTCTCTCCTTTCTCTCTTCTCTCTTTTTTCTCCCTTTCTCTCTTTTCTCCCATCTTCTTTTCTCTTTTTCCCCCTCTTCTCTCTTTTCTCCCTTCTTCCTTTTTCTCCCTTTTCTTTTTCCCCCCTTCTCCTCCTTTTTCCCTTTTCTCCTTTTCTCCCTTCTTCCCTCCTTTCTCCCCTCTTCTCTTCTCTTTTCCCTCTTCTTTTCTTTTTTTCCCTTTTTCTTTTTCTCCCTTCTTCCCTCCTTTTTCCCCTTTTCTCTTCTCTTTCCCTTCTTCTCTTTTATTTCCCTCATCTCCTTTTCTCCCTTCTTCCCTCCTTTCTCCCCTCTTCTCTTCTCTTTCCCCTCTTCTCTTCTTTTTCCCCTCATCTCTTTTCCCCTTATCCTCTCTCCCCTCGAAGTGTCTCCTGAAGGCCGGGTCTTCATGCCTGGCTGGACGAAGACGGCGTCGCGCTGCGTACGGATGACTTTTTTCGAGGGGAGAAGGGAGAGGATGAGTGAGGAGGGGAGAGGGGAGGGAGAGGAGGAGGAGGAGCGAGGAAGGGAGAGGAGGAGGAGGAGCGAGGAGGGGAGAGGGGAAGGGAGATGGGAAAAGGGGGAGTGGGGTAAGGGGGAGGAGAGAGGGGAGAGGGGGAGAAGGGGGAGGGGAGAGGAGAGGGGGAGGGGAGAAGGGGGAGGAGAGAAGGGAAAGTGGGAGTGGGGAAGAGGAGGAGAGAGGGGAGAGGAGAGGGGGAGGGGAGGAGAGAAGAGAAAGGGAGAGTTAGAGAGGGCATGAGGAGAGAGGGGAGAAGGGAGAGGGGGAGAGGGAAGACGAGAGAAGGGAGAGGAGCTGCTGAGGTCAGGTCAGGGGGGAGAAAGAAATGATCTCAGTGAGTAATACCCGAACTGGAAACGATCCTTCCACACTTACGAAAGCCCGTTGTATCAGCTGTTCCCGTACGACCCCCCCTTCGAACCTCTCTTGAAACCTCCTCACTAAGAACCCCCAGTAACCCCACCTCCCTATCAAACACCCCTAAGAACCTCCCTACCTCCATAGACCCCGCCCCCTCCCCGCCCGCCCGCCCAAGCGCCCCTCCCACGCGGTTCCATCACTGACTCGCCCGACGACTTTGGCCGGCGCTCGCGTGTAATTGGTGACTATTATGCTTCGCCTTAACTCTCGTTATGGCTTTATCGCGGCCTAATGGGCGGGGTGGGCGTGCGTCATGCGGCTGCGGGGGTCACTTTGTGGGCGATCAAATTCATCGGCGTTTAGGTAGAGTGAATGTGATGGAAGCTGATCATTACTGTGCCCGTATCTAGGGATATAACATATGTTTGTGTATATGTATGCGTATATATATACAGGGATACACATACGCACACACATACACACACACACACACACACATATACACATATAATTGTGTTTGTGTGTGTGTTTCTATGTATGTATGCATCTGTATATATATGGATGTATATGTTTCTGCATCCACGTCTGCCCATTGCGCATTGCGCTAATTCCCCTCTTCATATTCCTGTTAGCTTAATCACACATTCTCAGCCTGCCCTCCTAACCACGCCTCCCCCTCCCCCAGCAGGTGATAAGAGCGACCGCCGTCAGCGCCTCCCGCACCCCGCAGCAGCAGACACCGCACGCCCCTCGCCTCAGTAGAACCCGTTCCCCTCGCCGCCCCCAGCCAAGCCACAGCCATGAATTCCGAGGAGTTCCGGAAGCGAGGCAAAGAGATGGTGGACTACATCGCCAACTACATGGACACCATCGAGAACCGGCGAGTGACGCCCGCGATCGAGCCCGGCTACCTGAAGGACTTGGTTCCTCTCGAGGCTCCTCAGAAGGGCGAGGAATGGGACGACATCATGAAGGACGTCGAGGACAAGATCATGCCCGGGGTAAACTGGCCTTCTCACTGGCCTCCTCTTTGAGTTGTTCGCTGTCTGTTCTGTAAAAGTTATCATCATATTTTGCCACCTGTTTAGATTTATCACCATCTATTACCCCGCGTAAGGTCACCTAATCAACCTAAACACACAATATAACCAAAGATTTTGTCATATCTCCAAGTATCTCCTTGCTAGGCTCTTCGCCCAACACCTTGCCACTGTCTCCCTAATATTACCCAGTCACCGAAGTCTAAGAGCCTCTCCTCTCTCCTTCCGCAGGTGACCCACTGGCAGCACCCGCGGTTCCATGCCTACTTCCCCTCAGGCAACTCCTACCCGAGCATCCTGGGGGACATGCTCAGCGACGGCATCGGCTGCATCGGGTTCTCGTGGGCTGCGTCTCCAGCATGCACGGAGTTGGAGACGATTGTGCTTGACTGGATTGGTAAGGGGAAGAGACTTTCGCGCTCTCCTTCGTGTTCTCTTAGTTTCTTTGTGTCTGTCTGTCTGTGTCTGTGTTTGTCTGTCAGTCTGTCTGTCAGTCTGACTGTCTCTCTCTCTCTCTCTCTCTCTCTCTCTCTCTCTCTCTCTCTCTCTCTCTCTCTCTCTCTCTCTCTCTCTCTCTCTCTCTCTCTCTCTCTCTCTCTCTCTCTCTCTCTCTCTCTCCTCTCTCTCTCTCTCTCTCTCTCTCTCTCTCTCTCTCTCTCTCTCTCTCTCTCTCTCTCTCTCTCTCTCTCTCTCTCTCTCTCTCTCTCTCTCTCTCTCTCTCTCTCTCTCTCTCTCTCTCTCTCTCTCTCTCTCTTCTTTTTTGAAAATCGTCGTGTCCTGTCACCGTTTCCCCTCGCAGGTCGAGTGCCTTGATACTCTAGCGTCTCGAATTAATTCAATATTTGTTCCTTCTACGGACCTTCAAATCCTACATAATATCTTTCTCATACTTACTATTATTAAAGCTTTAATTTTCGTTTTTTTACATCCACCAATCTTGGATATGACTGACAGGTTTTGCTGATTTGTTTTACCTTACAGGAAAAATGGTGGGACTACCCGAAGATTTTCTCTCCTTCACCGAAAACAGCAAAGGCGGAGGAGTTATACAGGTGAGACAGCTTAACCATAAATCGACTTAAAACTACTCGAATACATAATTGAATCCCTTATAAGACAGTTGAAGAAAATCGCAAATGTAGAAACCTTTCCTTTCCCTCCCCCTTCTTAAGCTGTCACCGATCGTCTTCACATGTGATTAGATTGCTTATTAGCGTTTCGTAGGAGAATTTGGGATCTTCCTCGGACGCTCTTATCCTCCGAAATTATCATATCGTCGCCTGATATAATCTCCCTGTTTGATGTAAAAAAAAAAAGAAAAAAAAATCTACGCTGATGAGGGACTTATTTTTAGCCACATACCCTTCCCCGCATAATATTACCAACCGCATGAAGCCACATTCTCCACATATATGATTCCACATGAATTATCTTCTCCCCCCCCCCACCAGGCTATCAGGCATTGCTAACACACCGAACACATTCTCACACACCTATCCACACGCACCCCCCTCCCCCTCCCCTTCCCCCTCGCCCCCCCAAAAAATCCACCTCCCCCCGCCTCCACCACCTCCTCCACCCGTCCCTCCCTCCACACATAACTCCACATCCACCCTGCGCCCCCCCATGCACCCCACCCCCCTCATGCACCCCCCCCCCCTCCTACCGTCCGTCGCGTAGCTGCCTGGCGCTGAAACTTGGTGATGAATGGGAAAGTTTGTGGGCGAGCATGGGGAGGGGGGGAGGGAGAGGGGGAGGGGGAGGATAAAAGAACGGGAAGGAGGGAGGAAGGAAAGGAGGTGGGAAGGGAGGGTGGGAGGGTAGAAGAAAGGGAGGAAGGGAAGGAGGGAGGAGGGAAGAGAGAGGAAGAAAAAAGAGGAGGAGAGAAGGGAAGCAGAGAGGAAGGGAGGGTGGGAGGGAAGGGAAGGAGGGAGGAAGGGTAGGGGACAAGGAAAGGGAAGGAGAAGGGGTGGAAGAGAGAGAGGACGAGGGAAGGGACAGGCGGAGGGCGAAGTGGAGGAGAAGGAAAGGGAGAAGAGACCAGGGGAGTGAGAGGGAAGGGGAGGGGAAGGGGGGGAGAGGAGGAGAGATTCTCTCGGTCGGGCGGCACAAGAAATCGATGTGGCTATTACCCACCACAATAGCTTGGGTCCACCGCTAAAACTTCTTTTTTTGCGGGAGAAGAGAACCATTCACACAATTTTTTTTTATTCTCTCTCTCTCTCTCTCTCTCTCTTTCATCTTTTTTTTCTTTTCCTTAACACTGTCGAGGATTTGTTAAACGAGGCGGTAGCGAAGCCTGCCCTACCTGTTCTCCGAAAAGGAAGCGGACGCCAAGAGACAGCCATTTGGTTTCTTTGAAGCTAAAGTTACTCTCAGGTGGAGGGGAAAAAAACCTCGTGGGAGGAGAGGTCGGGTGGGGGAGGAGGGGGGGAGGGGCGAGGGGGGGCAGGAATGGGGAATGGAGGCGGGAATGAGAATGGGAGTCAGAGTAGGAATGGGGGAATGGGAATGGAAGTGGGAATGGGAATAGAATCAAGATGGGAAAAGGAGTGAGAATGGGTGAAAATGGGGGCTAGTGATGGAAATGGGAATGCAAATAGGGATGGAAATCTCGTTGGAAATATTTGTCGGGGGGGGGGGGGAGCGTGGGATGGTGGGAATCGGCATAAGAACGGGAATGTGCGTAGGAATGGGAATGGGGTGGACGTGTGCGCGTGGGTGGCCGATTAGCTAAGGAGATGGCGGGATTAATCATTCATCAGACCCGCCTATTTTTACGTGCTTCTGGCCTTCCGCTCGCTAACTTTACCTGATCTTATTTATTCCAGTCAGTTTTTTTTTCCTTTCTCGGAATAGCCTTACTTCGTCTCGAAATGGGAAATTCTCCCAACAATACGCATTTGCCTGAACTTGGGCCACTTCATCATAGTCTGATCTGCTTATCGTGAGAGATGAGGTCACTTTTTCGTCATTTTTTTTTAGTCAGTTTTCACAACCTAGGTTATTTTTACGATAACATACAAGCAATATCAGAACATATATATGGGGTTTATTTCTACTACTATTATAGTTATTTCTACTTTAAAATAGCAGCGACAATAGAACACACGCACACACACACACACACACACACACACACACACACACACACAAATATATCTATGTATATATATGTGTGTGTGTGTGTTTATTTCTAATACCACAAACACGGCAATCACAGCGATAAAACTTTATATTTTGGATAAAGTTTTACATTAATCTCTGGATGCTGATTGGCTTTCTCAGGGCGTCTCATGAATAGAGAGTGGGCGAGTTCGGAAAGGTTACTCGAATGCGCTTTGTTTATCGAAGAAAAGTCACACAAAAAAAGGATGAAAAAAACATTGTCGATAGATAGAATAGATGAATAAGGAAATATGATGCAGTGAGTTAATTATACGAAGGGATGAGATATACAGATGGACGAGTAACATGATAAGAGTGTTAAGGAATAAGGAAGTGCATAACTAAGACAGAGAGGAAGATGAATATCTGATGATAATAGATCAGAAGGTGAATAGATGATTAAGATAAATAAGAAGACGCATCCCTGACCGCCCTAGTAACGATACTCTTCGAGCCCCCCTGACCCCCTCCCCCTCCCGTCCTTCCCCAGGGATCGGCGTCCGAGTGCGTCCTGGTGTCCCTCCTGGCCGCCCGCGCCCACAAGATCCGCCAACTGAAGAAGCAGCACCCGTTCGTGGAGGAGGGCGTGCTGCTGTCCAAGATGATGGCCTACTGCAGCAAGGAGGCCCACTCGTGCGTCGAGAAGGCGGCCATGATGGCCTTCGTCAAGATGAGGATCCTGGAGCCCGACGAGAACCAGAGCCTCAGGGGGTCCACGCTGCAGCAGGTGAGCGCCTCCTTCCTCCCTATCTTCCCTCATTCATTCATTCACTTTTTTCTTCCTTCCTTCCTTTCTTCCCTTCTTCCTTCCTTCCTTCCTTCCACCTATCTCTACATACATCCATCCATTCATACATCCAATCATTTATCTATCCATTCATCCATCTATCTACTGATCCATCCACCCATAAAAAAATCCATCCATTCATCCATCTATCTACTGATCCATCCACCCATAAAAAAATCCATCCATCCACCCATCCATTCATACACCCATACATTTCTCTATCTATCCAGCCATTCATCCACTTATATATCCATCCATAGATACAGCACGCCCATACATGTATACATCCACCCATCCACTCATCCATAAATACACACACAGCAAAAAAATCCCTCTTCATAATTGACACTCCTATTTCCCAACGACCCCCCCTTTGTTTCGTTATAATGTTTGTGTGTGATTCCTTTATCATGGCCTGGTCTGTAAGAGTTCCATTTCCCTTCAGGTGATGGAGGAGGACCGCGCCATGGGCCTCATCCCCTTCTACGTGGAGGCGACCCTCGGCACCACCTCCTGCTGCTCCTTCGACAACCTCGCGGAGATCGGTAAGCGGGGCGTCTCGTCCGTGTGCCCTTTGTGTTGTCCCGACGAATCCGACGGCTGACGAGTCCGATCAATGCCTTTTCCTTTGTGACACCTTTCCTGACGACAGCCTTTTGAAATATTCACCGAACATGTGCTGAGCTATTC